TGGTTATTCGTGTTTATTAAATACTCTTGATTTAATGAGTAATTCTATCAGAAGATTTAATGAGACAGAGGAAAAAAATAACTATAATACATACAATACAATTATAGTTCTCATCTTTTTTTGTACTAATCAAGGATCCTTATTTATTTTCCAAAAACAAAAGCCGAGGACATTTCTAAATTTTTTATTCGAATCAACGCACGAAGGAGAAAAATATTCAGAACAAAATATTCGGGATGACATCTATACGATAGCTACAGATGTAAGTCGCATTTATTATTTAGATGCAATAAAATTTGGATATTCAAGAACGTACATACATATTACACTTTCTTAATTATTTGTGATTATTTATTGTAGATTGTTGACGAGAGCGTTTTTAAATGCGCGTCTCGTACCGGACCAGCGATGATAGTCGATTCACATGGAGGAAATGTTCCCTGTCTCGTCCTTGTTGTCCGAACTATAGATCAACTAGTCGCGATGAATAAGGACGGCGGCAATAGGTTAGAATATCGTTGTAGGCCGTCAGCAAAATACCACTCACTGCGTTCCCGCAAATTAATGGGAGAACGCGTGTTCTTTTAAAGGATCCCGTTAGAAATGGAGAAGTAATTGCGCGATATTAAATGATGCATGCTATATAAATCTCATCGTATATTTGATTAAATGAGTTACAATTGTTTGTGTGTCTCGTGTATAATGTGTAGTTAGTTGTACTAGTTGCTTCTGAAGGAGGCTTGAGAGCTTAGATGTTTTGAATCTGAAAGATGTAACTTGACTGCTTTTTTGGCCTCTTTAGAACTATCCAAGCAGAAATTGGTAAAGGCCGAAGTTTGAATATGGAAAGAGAAAGAATAAATGCCCATTGGTCGGGGATAGTTCGTTGGAATGTTTAAACATTCCGTGTGTGCTTCCTTTGTTCTAATGATCGGGTGATTAGAGTATGACAATGGATATTACAAAGCTAAAAGCCAGATAGCCCTTAGCTTATCGCGCCTAGGCGTCTACTTTCGTTATTTACTTATTGCCCGGATTGACATATATCAAATCCCAGATACTTTACTAAGAATGCCTAGGCCTAGACAAAGGTGGCCACATGTTTTTATTTATGCATTTTGTTAGTTAATATCCAATAGATTCCCAATTAAATATTTCCAATGGTGATATATAACTCTTAAGACAAAGTGCCGCGAACAATGGAGAGACGTACGTATGCATCAACATTTATATAATGGAAATAATTTTCATATTAACTTCTTATCATCCTTTTCACAATTTCGATCAGAAAGGATACGAGGAACTGAATCAAATCTACGGTTCGAACGATCCGAAATATGTTCCAATAACATATGATGATATTAAAAATATAAAATTGTTGGAAAGAAAGATCAAGGAAACGTTGTCTTTTTCCTTCAGGTCTAGTCATTGCTCGGAAAGTAAAAAAAGATATAGAAGATATCTCTACATATAAAATGATAAGTATTATATTTTGTTAGCGTTAATAATTAATTAATGATATAATTTGTTATCGTTAATATTATTTAATAATAATATTTATTTATTAATTAAAGCAAGTTACAAAAAATTGGACTATACCGAAAAGGAGTCCTATAAATTCTATCGAGACGAAAAATATTCGACCCAGCGGTTACTATTCAATGCAGATAGGTTTCTACCAAGTATGAGTACTTTATCAAAATTCTTACTATTCAGCTACGGAAGAAGACATTGCATAGATAATTATATACTCATATATTATTGTAATAGCATACCATAAATTTATAGAATAAAATGCATTTATAAATGATTTTATTCTTTTCTTTAGATAAAAAATTCGCTACGCTAGAGATGATATTAATAATTGTTACACTGGTAAGAATAACTATAATTAAAATAGATTAGCCAATAGGAATTGAAGAAGTTGGAGTAAATTTGAAAGTTAAAATCAGCGGAATCAATAAAACTAAAATTTGAAAGAGGAAATTAATTAAAATATATACATGCATGACGAATTCTGTGCGTGTTAATCGGTAGCAGAAATAAATTAATAAATGTATTAAATAAGTATTGTATAAAAATCGTCCACCAGAATCTGATAATTTCAAGATCATTTTTACTACTAATTTCGAATTTCTTATAAAATAGTGAAAACTTAAAACTGCATCCATATAGATTTTCTTCTCTATACATTTTTTACCTTTAATTAAAACTTGGGGGTGGGGAGTACTATTCAATTTTAGAAATTCACTAATGAGCGAATCATAACTAAGTATATAGAATATATTAGTATATATAATAAGCCCATAAAACTTCTCTTCCATTTGTTTAGGAATTTGTTCGCGTATTGTATCTTACAGAAGAAACGTGTAAATATATACAAGACAAGCCAAATATTCATAATTCTCTCTTTTTATTTATAAATATGAAAAGGAGTAGCCAAATCAAACGTATATTAGTTACAATGACTTAGACTGTGAGGGCTAATTCGTAAGTCTGTGATTATGAACAAAGTCATTATTATAACCATTGTAATAAAATAATGATAGAAAACTGTCTGGAAAGATGTAGCCTTCATACTGAAATTTATTACAATGCCAAAACATATTATATTGTCCAAGATTAAATATAGCTGTCTTCATAATGTCTGATCGGTTCAATAAATTAAGACATATTTATCATAATACGCAGTCATTCTGGTCATTCTTCACAATGGTCGAGCACTATAAATTAGTAAATCTGTTTAATCATTTAGCCCATGATATACATATATAATACTTTAATGCTATTTTTGTTACTGTAGGCGAGATTCACATATAAGATTAAGTATATAATCTTTAATAACTTATTGTTATTTACACTTATGTGTGTACAACGTCGCAAACGAGATATCGGTAATTTATACTTGAATTTTTTTTCATTCGCGTACCGATAAAGAGAAAGCGATTTTTCTTATTGACTTCGCATTTCTCGTGTTGTTTTTTTCTAGGATGTCTACTCACTATCTAATATATACACATATATCACTTTATTTTCTTTGAAAAAAAATTGTGTTAAAAAATGATGTTCTTTCTAGAATAGTTTATGCAGAAATATGAAGCTTTTTCAAAAATTTCAAACAGTGGGGTCCTAGATTAAACCTTTATTTCCAAAATGGGACTTTAATTAAGAAATATGCTTATTTTCATTGTTCAATTGCTATTTCGACATTTTTTGAAAAGAAAAAGTTTTGTATATTATCCTCCCTGTGAAATCTGCGCCAAAAGAGAAGTTCGTACCTCCACGACTGATTTTCATATCTACACTGGAATGATTTGTTTCGGTTTAGTAAACGATAGCTCGCTTGTTTGTTTGCATAAACTGATGATACTAAATTTTTCTGAACGCTAAGAAATGCGTTTCACGATGTTCTTATGGAGAAACAATGAACATTTTCATGAACTTTCGAAAATGATTTTACGGCGAAAATAAGGAAATGCGTGTTCAATCGTTCATGTCAATGGATCTGAATTTTTAAAATATTGTTAAATTTTAGAAAATTTTGTAGTTCCTTTTATATTTTATAAACTAAATCGTAGAGTTTTTATAAGCAATATGTAATACATTGACAAACATCTAGATTAATAATTCTGAAATCGTAGATTCTCTGAGGCTGAATGATTCCGTTGTTTCTTTTTCTTTTTTTGTTGTATCGATGTAAAAGAAAATAATCGACTAATTTATTCTTTGATTTTTTTATTTGATACTTTAATAGGACGTTACTATTCAATATTTTATATTTATTTCCTCTACTGATAGTTGATGTGATCTATGTTGCCGATTGATTTTCGATTGATTTTCCAATAATAATAATTAGTGGTAGATTAAAGATCAAAATATGAGTTCGTTTCCACATCATCTATGGGGTTTTTCTCTCAGCGCTACTTTTTATGGATTTCTCTGTAGGAGTAATTACTATTACTACTACTATTACTATAATAATACATAATATAACAATATAATAATAGGAAGAATAATAAGAAGAAGGAAAATAAAAGAATATACTCACATTTATTACATGTATCCTCTGTCCAAAATTGTTTATTCTCGTAAAATTTGTTATCTTTCGATTCCTAATTCCGCGCATATTTTAAAAACACAACATGCTTAGGACGTTTAATCCGAGATTTTCAAATAGCAAAGTATCACTAGTGCTTTTACTATTATAATATAAAATAAGCATAATGTATGTAATATTTAAATACGTTTTTATTATTATTGATTTATAATCAGTAATAGACTACTATTACTACTAGTATATTTATAATCAGTAGTAGACTATTACTACTACAATAGAACAATAGAAGTAATAGATGAAATAGTATAGAGTGGAATAGTCATGAAAAGAAAATTACGTGAAAAATACGCTCGTAGGTAGAGTGGAAATGAATTCATGTTTTAATTTATATTAAAATAATAAAATATATAAGTTTTCACTACTTATTTTTGGCAAAATATTCTACAAAATCTTATTTTTTAACTTATATTTATATACTAATTATTATATCTAACAATTATATTTATTATTCTTTATGCAATTGCGGAATAAATGCGTACCAACGTTATATCTAATTCGGATCACTGCGAAACCACCTAAAAGCGACCATCTAAAAAAGATCTACATTTAAGAGATTGAAAAATGTAAGGTCACGGCCTACTAACATTATCTATTCTGCCCTAATCATTGATATGTTATGACCAATGCAAATTTATACAATTATTGAACAGACGCATGGTGGGGACAGCCATCACCACTTTCACTTGTAGTTGATATTTTGTCTATAGTTGTCGCCGCAATCAGGTACACTGTAAAAGATGAGATAGATTTTTAAGGTTAGTATTTCTTTTCATTTTTGTGGATTGGTGTGTTCTTACAGTCTTCACCAGTGGTATTAATTGGTTCTTGTATATCATATTATCCATTATTTATGTCATTCATTTAATGAATCTTTCAATAGGTTTTCAATCTTGAAACCAAAATTACCATGTTGAAGATTTATTAAATGATATTCGTTTGTAGAAACTAAAATTAACTTCTAAATATGATTTTAATCGAAAGCTTTTAACACATCAAGAAATAAAGCGGATCAAATTATTTTTAAAGTAAAACATAACAAGTTGAAGAAGCTATTACTAAAATTACGGAACATTTTCATTATATTATTCATTCTAATTAATTAATTGTATTAATAGTACTACTTACTCTTAATAATTATTTTTATTAGATATTATTATTTCCAAAGCACATTTCAAACAGATATTTAGTAAGACGTTTTTATTTGGTATATTAAAATGTGGGAAGGTCAAAAGATTTTTAGAAAGAATAATAACGAATCTGAGTCACAATCGTGCAGAGAATTGACAAAATGTTTTGAATGAAGTAACTCGTTAATTGGTAATATTCTATCATTGGTATATAGTTCATCAGCAAGCGAAATAGAATTTAATAAATATTCCGTCAAATATATAATTCTTTTATTGCTTTTGTTAACTGCAAGTTTTTTCATTTATTCTTAATAAGAAAATATAAGATGATAATGACTTTATTATTATTATTAAGTGAAATATTTGCATCAAAAGTGTATCTTTTCTTTATTTTCAAATTATGTTAATGTATGAATGTACGTAATGTGCAACATTTCAGAATTGGCCGATCATTGAAATTATTTCATTTAAGAATGAAAGATGATGACGTCGATCCAGAAATGTATCATTATGCACTAGATTATTACTATACTAAGGAAATGAACGCAACAAAGGAATATTCCATTGTGCAATAGATTGGATTGGCTTTCAATTGGTACGTACCAAGAGTTTGTGTTTTCATCTCGATTCTGACTTATGTTCTCGCAGGTTATTACTAGACCCTCAACGAGAATGTTGCCACGATATGATCATGCTTCAACATCGTTCCATCCTCCATGATTACTGGATTTTTATTGGATAAGAACGGTTGTTATTTGTATAAAAATAGGAAAGAAAAATATCTTAGGATTCAAGAATATCATTCGATAATATGTATTCGTCAGTTAGTCGATAGTTTCTCGTCCGAAAGATTCATTATGCACGTAAAGATTGAGAAAAGCAAGAGATCATCTGAAGGGATATTGAAAAACATAGCTGCAGTAAATATGTATAGATCAAAGAGAAGAAATTTATCTATCGAATCTGCTAGTCTAATAACAATCGTAGAGGAGGAGAAAAGCAGTTTATTACAAATAATGCTTAAGAAGAATTGTCACTGAAAATTTTGTGGAAACTAATGGTAAGAAAGCTCATGTTGGTTCATTGTCATGGAGTTTTGTTTCATCAATCATGCGGAATATATTTTCTGTTAATTGAATATGGAAATTGGTTTGTTTCATGGTGGTAGAACGATCGTTGATGAAAGAAGAATAAGATGCGGACCACGTTCTTGTATCAATCTTGCTATAGCAATCTATCCTCACACGTACGTTTATCTATTCAATGGACCAATTTAGCGATAGATGCTTTGGTAAGTAAATGTGTCATCGAACAGTACAAATATGAGGATGCCTGAAAAACAAAATAATCATCTTAGGGATCCGTCAGTTAAAGTTTCTGTACTTCTAATTTCCAAGCTTTTTATGGAAAAGAACAAAAAATCCACATGCTAAAGCATCATCGAAGATTCTAGAGATTGATATTTATAATAACGATAGTAAGAAGCGTAAACCAAAGCATTGGCTAATTTGAGATTTTTATTTGGCGATAAGTTGAACAGTTGGAATGAATAAGTGATTAAATTTATTGCAATACTAATTTCAGATTTTTCATTAACTAAATATTTATTATATTATGAACAAAATCTCGATTACTGAATCTAATGTCTATAGCATTAAATGGCGAGACAATTTTCATTAGCGAACTCGATATTTTTTTTTTCTATTTTTTTTACGAGATCGGTATTATTTCTTAAAAACGTTTTTTTTCGATAGGTCTCAGTGTAGCTTGGACATATTGGAAGGATATGCTGATTGTTTATTTCGACAAAATTTACGGGTAGTCGAGTTAAAAGAACAAAACAAATAGATGATTACCAGATTGTATTCTCGAATGTCTGAAGGAGAAATGAATTAAAGAGTCAGCTGAATAAATCATTTAACATGTATAATTCGTCCAGTCATTAGAAACAAAATAAGAACTAGTTTTATTAATTACGTTTGAACCTTTTTAACATTTAATAAAATAAAAGTTGTTATCAACCAGAAAATTAAAATCGCATTTCTTCAATAACTATCGATTTAAAATTTCTAATTAAATTTAAAGTTTCTAATTAAATGCCTGCTGTTTATTGACAATCTATATTACAATTGCCCGTTTTACCAGGGATAACTAATAAAGATTACTGATTACCGATTCTTGATAAAGTAGATTTCTTTTTTTTTTTTATAATAGAGTAATGATGAAAAAGTTATTCAATATCGATTGATGATAAAGTATCAGTCAACAATAAAGAAATCTTCTTTTGAACCAAGGTTTTATACAGAGCCCATTGCTACTGACTAATGGTTAATTAGATACTTCATCAATAGTCATCAAAGTAGATTCCTTTTTATCCACCAACCTATACCGAAGTATCTCTTTGGTAATTTTCGGTAACATAGATTCCTTTTACCATAAAACCTTGTAGATTTTTGTTTTGTTTTCATTCGATATTAAGATATCTCTTGTATCAGGCATGAGAAAGATCTGTTACAGTAGGTTTTGTTTCATTTTCATCGTTTTATAGTTTCAGCAGATAATAGGATAAAATAATAAAATAATTTTCTAGTTACATGTACAAATATTTGATAATTGTAGAAAACCATTCTGGTGTTTGCTGGAGGTAATAATATATTATTTTAAACTATGAAAACAAAATATGCTAAATCTATTCATTTAATTATAGAAGCGATCAATCCCAAATAAGTGGTGCATGCGCATGAAAGATATAGACAAGCATAATAAAACTACTCTTGAAAATTATTTATTATTACTCATGATTTTTGCAAAGGGTAAAACATTTTCCAAAAATCTGATAAAATAACCTCGTGTAAAATAACTTTATCTTTCAAATGATTCTTTGTTAACCAAAATCGGACAAATATTGTGATCATTCATGATATAAACTCCTGCAACATATTATTAATAATCTACTTCATTTTTCTTTTCTTTGATTCAAATTTGTTATTCTATAGAAAATAAAAAAGATAATATCGTACAAAAAATATTATATTCCATATTCCATTATGATTTATAATATATAAATATAATGTAATTAAATGTTTCATAATTTAAATTTATTTTTAAATTCTGTAATGTATTAGGTGGACCGGAAAGTAATGTCGCTTTCTTAAATTAAATTCAAACGAATAAATTTTTAACAAGTTTTTATTTTTAATCACAATCAAATATCGACATGCGCAGAAACGACATTACTTTTCGGTCCACCTAATATATACGTATAGAATCTTCTGTCCACTTGTGTTAGTCCCAGTTCTAAACGATCTACTACATATTGTGGTAAACAATAAATCGAATTTACTTTATTCAATGGATAATCAACATGTATTAACGATAATACAGCAAATCCAAATAATGTATAAATAGTATCAGCAATATCATCATGTTTATCGCTAAAGCTTCCATCAATATTTTGACACGTCAAAACGTTATCTTCCTATAGTACAAGAAATAAAGATATTTGTATATGGTAGAAGAAGTACCTAACGTACCTTTAAAACATTATTTTTTAATTACACGTTCAATGCCATACAGTTCAGCCGTGAAAAGCTTTCAATTTATCTATATCGTCATCGATCACACAGACTTTCATATGTTCATTCGCTCGACATTCGATGTTCGACATTGTTGAAATAGAACAACCGATGTGCTCTCTCTCACACTCATGCCTAGTGTTTTATATGATTTGTAATCGTGCTTTTCTTTCTTTCACACCTGTCATACTCGTATACATTTGTTTATAGTACGGGCCAACGAGCTTCGTCTAGTCCAAGGGCGCTTGGAAGTTGCACGTGGACTAATACTCATTCTGATCGCTATCTTAGTTTACGTTTATTTCTTATATTTATATTTATATATTATACAAATTATATGCCATAAATTGTAGAAGCCGCATGTACCATGGATTTTATATTCTAAAGTCAATAAATCTTAATGCTAGAAATAGAGATAATTTCCACTTTGTTAATAAGGTATATCATTAAAATAAATTGGTTAGTAATAGTTGAAGAAATTCTGATAAAAATAAATGTTATGTTAAAGCCGATCAGATCTATAAGATTAAAATTTTAAAGAAGAATTAAATTGTACAATATATATAAATGTAATAAATATATTATTAATATATTATGTTTTTATACATAATAAATTCCGTACGTGATGACAGATCTATATAGAATTAATGAATTAATGAAGTATTCCTGTAAGAAAGTACGCAACATCATATAAATCTAATTGCTCAGTCGAAGAATGGAATAGAGTGGGAGCAAGAGGAAAAAAGAGGAAGATAGTGAGGATGATGAAGTGGTAAAAGGAAATGGAGAGACTGATAGAGAGAAAGAGAAAGAGAGAGATGGAGTACGGTGTGAAGGAGGAAAAAGGGACAAAAGGGGGGATATTTATAACCGATTATTAAATCATAATTCACATCATATAGTTTTCTCATGATCATCGGTTATGTGTTGTATCTATTACATTTTAAGCCTTGGTAGAACTAAATGAAATGAAATGGTTACTTGTTATTCTTATACTTGTTATTTTATGCATTGTCTTTCTCTCTCTTTCATGCACACTCTTTAAGAAAAATCTACAGAGGAGATCATACGAAAATGCAGTTCGACCATATTTTTATCTACAAAGTTGAGCGAAACGAAAAATATTGAACCAAAATGTTAACATTCGATCCAGACGGATTTCAAATCGTCGAAGGTAATTGATGGAATTTCTTAGCATTCAGTCAAGGAGAAAGAAATTACACAAGTAATTGCACATTTTTACAAATTATTGAAATTACATCTTAAAAAGTTATAGAACAGAATGTATTTAATTCTGATTCTACTTTACAGATCAAAGATTGACATCGCTGGAAATGAAAGTACTAATTGTTACTTCGCAAAGAAGATTTATCGATCTAAAATAGATCGACCAGTAGCATTCGAAAAAATTGGAATAGAAACAAACGTTAGTTTGAAACCAGCAAAACTTGTAAAATTAATATTCGAAAAAAAATACTAATTAAGATTATTTTACATTTTTTGGGATAAACAATCCATATTATAAAAAGCTTTCTAAAAAATTTGAAAAAGCAAGATCCTAGATTAAACTTTTTTCCTTGAAGTGAAACCTTCTTCATCAAAATCAAAATCAATCAAAAATTATGCATGTTCTTAATCACGTCCTCACAGGCTGAGTTCCCTTTGAATAGAGATAACAACCCGTTGTTATGTATTGAATTCTCTAGGAATTTAAAAAAGGTCTTTTATTTTCAACTTCACTTTTGTCGCATTGTGGTCTGTGATAACGGTCGATTTGCAAGCAAGATATCTACATCAATGTTATAAAATCATTGATCGCAATTAATCCGATACGGCGCCCGGCTGATTTGAAGTGTCAACTCGAGCGACGCTGCTACGGTTTTTTATAACTTTATGTACTTTTGTAATTTCTTCGTACTCTCTGCAAAGTACCCATTTTGAACTCCTTGCACCTTCCGCAGTTTCACTTTGGACTTTACTTTCGCTCTCTATAATTCTAATTTTTCGTCGTCTCACACCTCTTACTTCCTCATTATTTTCTCCACTGGATTCGTTCGTTTAGTGGCGTAATCCGTCGTGAATTAATGTAATTTCTTCATCCAAAGCGGCAAAATTAAGTTTCGTCCGTACTTGAGCTGATCTTATCTTTATCCATATTTTAAGGGCACAAAAACTTTTCAATTGCTATATTCACTGCCAAGACTGTTTTAAGCGAATGCTATGTTAAGACTAACTAAACTGAGCTAAGATTTGGCTAAAAATGTAAGCCGAGCCTAGACCACGAAAGTATTTCCGAGAGAAATATCTTATCGCACATCGTAAATAAGCAGACCGTAACAGCGTCGCTCGAGTTGATTCTTCAAATCACCCGGACGCCGTATAGGCGTCGCTCAAGTACAAAGGGTAAAAAATGGCGGTTCCAGGCTCGGAATTTTTCAGTCGTTCCCCTGACAATTAATTTGTTTTTCGTTTTTCCAAAAACCATTGAGATAACGCGATTTCTTTAATGGATCCTGGAGAATACGTGAGGAAGGTGCGTGATAAAAGAGACTTTGTGAATTTAAATTTATAATGATATATCTAAAGTATTGAGATACAAAGTTTTCGGTATTTGTGTTTCATTACTATGTATTGTTAATTGTGCTGATTACATCCGAGTGAGGCTTGATTAACGTTGCTAATAAGACTCGGTTGTCTTACTATTTTTAACTTCAAA